CTGAAATATGATTAGACAATGCGTCAAGGATAGATTACCGCTTTTGTCCACATCCATGTGTATTTACTCTTTTACCTGCTCTTGTGGAGCTGTTTATATTGGACGTTGTAAGCGTAATCTCCGAAAACGTGTAGCTGAACACTATCCAGTCTGGTTAATGAAAGGCGAACGTAGAACTGCGAAGTCGTCCATCTGTGATCACCTGTTAGAGTCAGGTCATTTAGCCCCACGTGATTCATCTTTCAAAGTTATCTACATGGCAAAATCGAATCGATCCAAAAGTTTACGTTTTCTTCACTTATGCATAGCCGAAGCTTTAGCTATACATGAACAGAAACCTAAATTATGTGTTCAAAAACGTTTTGTCAAACCCCTTTCTTTACCTTGGTCATAGTAATGTTCTTTCTAGTTTTTACTTTATTTTATTTTACCACTTGAATTCTTTCCACTTCACTTCACATTTTCATTCTTATCGTAATCGTACTCTTATTTTATAAAATTTTTAGACAACACTTGACATTTTTAAAACATTTTTCAATTCACTTATAAAACAATCTTTAATAATTTTGTAATTTATCCACTTCAACTCTACCCCTTATAACATTTTAATAATTGTTATTCTTATCACATATATGTATATTGACTGAGCAATTATTTAGTGCCACTTAATAACCTTTTTTCTGTAATATAAATACGACTGTACAGCTTGAAAATGAAGTCGTTGAAAAGAAATTTCTTCACTGAACAAAAACTGTGTTTTTACTTATGAATAAATGGGTATTTTTCGTGAAATATGTAATTAGTGGACGGATAGTCGAAATTTTCGCTTGACAAAAGCCGAAAATCAAGATTTCAACCACCAGAAAAAAGAAAGCGGTGGGGGGTGGGTGGCGCCGGGGCCTGTGGGCAGGGGATAACACTTACCCTTTATAATTTTGTAATCGTATAGCATTTTGTTTTAATTGCATAGCATGTTTTAATTTGTCTAAATAGGTGACACTATCAGCAGTATGATATTGTCTAGATAGTAATAGCATAGTATTGACATCTTCTGTCTCCGTGTCAGCTTTATTACTCTATATAAATATACAAATGTATAAACAAAGTATATAGATTTGGGAGAGTTTCAAGAAAGACAGGCAGAGAGAAAAATGTAATTCCATATTAGTTTGTTTATTAGATGTATCACACAGTCAACGAAACAGTATTATTTACTGGATGAGAAGGTTTCGAACACAATTTATTACCGTTCATAATCATTCCACCAATTATAATCACACGACTTCGAAACTTGAGTTTTATAGTTTTCTTTGTTCTCTCCTATTTGTCATCGTTGGAGTAGTAGAATTTTCCAGATATCTGAGTGGACAGGTGTTGAATCATTCCTATTACACGTATTCTCTCTCAGTTGATTCGATAAACAAAGCTTCCGTTTTCAATCTCTCCCTCCACCCTGTTACTGAATTAGATTTTAAAACTGTCATATTATCCTATCCCATCCTATCGTGTGGCTGGTTGTGTGTAATTGCATGTAGTGAGTTCTATAGCTGAACTAACTATTCTCCAGATTTCTTATCTTATTCGAGTCAACTAATCTAGATTTCGCTGCTAGGTTTTTATGCTCGGCTAGTCTGACTGCACCTGTTCTACTACTTTGACCTATGTATTTGACCGGACAATCATTGCAGACGGGGTATTAGATAAACTAAATTGTTTTGTTTAATTGGCACCACACGATTGATCCTTTAACCGACAAAGCTTGTTTCTAATTGAGTTTGTGGGTTTGAATGCCAGCCACTTTTATTCCTGCTTGTATTGCTAAGAATTCTCTGCCGTAAGATTTCCGAGGTTCCTTCCTTCTATGGAAGTACTACTGATGACTTAGATCCCTTATTATTGGTGTTGTCATTATCCTGTGCATGTTTGACATGCATGTCGTCATTACTATTATTATTATCACCAATATCATTACTATCATTATAATACTTTGATAAGGCTATTAGCATTAAATAGCGAAACGTCATTCATTGGGAAATACAAAAACCTTTGTTATAATGACTATCATTATTTATTTAATTTTTACATTTCCCTACATACTTCCTGACTAATTTATCAGGGTAATTATTTATGAGTTTCAAAGTTTCTCTTATATGCCTCACTTTCTGTCTTAGATTTTCCTTGGTACTACTTAGTTTTTGTGCTCTATCATTGCAGGGTATTAGATAAACTAAATTGTTTTGTTTTAAAGGCTCCACAAAATTCTACTACCTCTACGACGACAAATAGGAGAGAACAAAGAAAACTATAAAACTCAAGTTTCGAAGTCGTGTGATTATAATTGATGGAATGATTATGAACGGTAATAAATTGTGTTCGAAACCTTGTCATCCAGTAAATAATAATACTGTTTCACTGACTGTGTGATATATCTAATAAACAAACTAATATGGAATTACTTACTACCACAGTGCCCAAGTTTTACACATATATTAAGAGAGAAAAACAAAAACAATGTTTCTATAGTTTCATTTCGACCAATATGACTAATAGTGTATGTAGACTAATGAATATTGCTGTACAAAATAAAGGTACGTGGATAACACTTTTATAGTTTTGTCATAACGATTCTGATTTAAATTGTATCTTAAAGGAGTTTAATAATTCCCATCCTTCAGTTAAATTCATAATGGAAGTTGAAAAGGAAGCAAAGATTCCATTTCTGGAGGTTGAATTGACAAGAAGAGATGATGGAACTTTGAAAAGATCTATCCAAAGAAAACCATCGTGGAATGGCTAACGGACAAACTTTTACCATTGGATGCCTATCAGTCGAAAAAGATCTGTTATCATCTCATTGGCCAACCGTACCAGAATAGTGGTGACTGCTTAGAAGAAGAGTTTCCATTTCTCAAAAACTATCTTGGCTCAAAATGGATACCCGGCGCGTTTTGAGGAGAAAAACATGAAGCTAAAGCCAAAAAAAGGAAGAATGTACTTCAGGGGAGACCAAGCAGCAGATATCCTTAAAAGGAGAATCTCCAGTTCCCTAAAGAAGACTTTTCCTGCAGCGACCCTAAGAGTAATATTCTCCAGCCACCCACTGCTTCGGAGAAATGTGAAGGACAGACTTCCGCATATGACCACATCAGTGTGCTTATATCAGTTCACCTGGTCGTATGGAGGTAGGTACGTAGGTAGTTCTGTGAGTATCCTATCAAAACGTGTTAGAGAACATTACCCAGCATGACTGCAAAATGTAGGCACTGGTTCAGTCAGGAGTGCCATAACTGAACACCTCTTCAAAATCTGTCACAGCATTTCAACTAACTCATTATGGAGAGACATTTACAAAGTAAACAAAAATGGTGTGTTTCGGACTTCCTTGTACTACTACAGAAGCCGTCGCCATATGCATCAAAAAATCGGAACTGTGTGTTCAAAAGAAACTGGTTCAATCTCTACATTTGCCATTGATCTAGTTCGGTTTGTCTCATTAGGTCTCGTTTTTGCGATCTCTTCATTTTCAATTTTTAAAATATTATTCTTTCAATTTGTTTCCATGCTCATCCCATTCACATCTTTAGTCGTTAAAAAACTATTTTCTAATCCTGTATAATTTTGTTTCGAAGCCTCTTGTAACCTATATTCACACCCTTGAAATTTCATGTCAAATTGAAAAATATTATGGCCTTTAGTCAACTTCGTTACTATGTGGAATTAAATAAATAATAATTGTGTCTATGTAAACATGTGTATATAAATGTGATTGTGCAGTTGCTTTTGAGAATAAAACCGCTAAAAAGACATCAGTTTTCTGAACTTCGTGTTCTTTTCTCTTTGATATCCTGATGGGTACCTTCCACGATTTGACTGATGAATAATTGACTGATGACATCTCATGAAAGCCAATCCCTCAGTGCGAGTGGGTTCATGGTTGTCGTCTGGATGACTAGAGTAGATTATCAACTTTTAAATGGTTTGCTGCACTTTCGAGTGGTACCCGAAAGAGGAAAAACAAGTTGGGCATGTATATGAGGGTGACATGGTGAAGATCATGTGAAGATGAGGAAATGAAACCTTGTGGGCATTCGTGGAGCTAATCAAAAAACGTCTGTACAGGAAAAACTGAAATGATCTGCTGAAACACTATGTTCCACTAGGAACTCGACAGATCAATAACTTTTGGCGTAATTGTGTTCTCCAAACTGGATAGTTCAGTTATGAAGCCGACTTTCACTGTCTAACTCTAGACTACATCTTCAGTGCATACTTCAATCAATTTGAAGTAAGCTTCTGGAATTCTCCACGAGTTTATTTTTCAGCTCTCCTGGTAACGTTCAAGGTGATTGTATTGCTATTGATTATTCTGTTGACCTGAGTGTTAACCTTTGGTTCATGTGATTTCCTTTCTATGGATTTGCAGATCTTATCTACATCGGTTTGTCTGTTGATTGCCGATTCATCTGAAAACTAGGCTTCTAGAAATTCTCTGGTGTTTCCTATGTCTCAGATTTGAACATTTTCCCGGTCTATTTGGTGTCTGTGGTGTTGTGTACATGTATTGATATGAGGGAGTGGATATCATGTCTTTTGACCACCAGTTCATGTTCGTGGGTGCTAAGAGGAAGAGTGTGTTGTCCACTTTGACCAATGTAGTCGCTGGAATTCATCTTATAGATGTTATTGGTTTAGTCTTCTTTGTTGATATAGAGTCAGTGGAGTGAAGTGATTTTGTTGGTTTGTAGATGACATGAATTGCAAAAGCTTTGACTAGAATTTTAGTGACTTCGGAGGTATTCTTTGTGTTTTGATTGGAGACTTTTGATTTGTTTTATTGAGTTGAGGGTAGATGTCATTTGACGATCAATCCAGGACTTATCACAGAAGATAGGTACATCAGTTCAAGTTGTTAGGCCTCGAAAAGTTATGCAGAGATAAGAGAACAGACATAGAATAAAATATGCAACAGACAGACTGATGAAACCTTTCGTGATCTAGAGAATAAGTTTTTTAAAAAGACGAATACATCTGCAACATTGTGAATGATTTCCAACAACGGTATATCCAGTTAGACAATCTATCGCTCACTACATGACTCAAGCTAACAGATGACAATAATTTCATCAACTGATATCATGCTTTAGTTTCACCATCTTTATGAATAATTTTTATTAATTCTTTGGTAATTATTACATTGCAAATACATTCCGGTTACTTTTTACTCTATCTCTATTGATTATGAAATTTTATCAACAACTCCATTATGGGTAAAGTTTATTTTGATAAAGTCTCACAGTGTGTTATACAGTAATAATTATTGATGACCACGTTTCAAGCACAATTTATTGCCACTCATAGTCATATCATATCAAGACACTACTCACACAACTTTGCAACTCCGTTTATACAATTCCATTAATTTTCATCGCTTGACTTGATTGGTAGTAATATTTTCTATATTTCTGCTATGTGTGATGAGTCGTTCCTACTGCACGTGTTGGGTGTAGATTCGATGAACCAGGATTCAGTAATCAACCTCTCTCTCTCTCCATCTACCTATATTACTTTTCAGAATTTTGACTCTGTCCTACCCCTATTGTGTGGTTGTGTGTTAATGCCTGTAGTGCAATTACTGTTGAGCTTTATTTTAAATTACTTATCTTCTCGGGGTCAAAAATTCTTACCTTAGCTAAATTATTATGTTCCGACAATTTGACTACTCATGACCTACTGGTTTGACCTATGCAGAATGATCAATTTCAGTTGTAGGTGTGCTTGGAGATTTCGGAATTTTTCCAATTTCTTTCTCCACTAGGTTCTCGACATGCGACATATATATATCAGCTGTCTTATGTGTCCAAAAGTTATTTGTTATCACCTTAAACCTGCCTTGGTAATCCAATTGACAACCAAGGACCAACCCCTTCTTTGCCTCGTTTTTCTCCTTTTATCTTTCTTACCCTCACCTTTTGCGTCTCCCTACCCATTATTTGTGACCTTGACCTGTACAAAATCTGACCTGTATTGTAATTATTCATGCCTTCTTGCATTCTATAAACACTGTGTATGGCAAGTACGTGTGTGATCAGAATGTTCGAAATGTGTTGCGCCAGTACATTACACGTTTCAGATAAACTACGTCTTCTTATTGTGTTGTCAAAATTCATAAAGGGAACTAATTGCTTCAAATTGTTCTTTTCGCTCTCATTTTTACACTGTTGTTAATATTTTCACTTGATTTAATTAGATATACATTTATTATTCAACAAATATTATTAATTAAGGTGCCCTATATTAATTATTACCCTTATAATGGGAAAATTAGATGCAATATTGTATTCCTATAGGCTGAAAATTCCATATTTTTACCAAAACTACTACCTACAATAAAGTAGTATACGACCAAAACACAGAAAAAGTCATTCTTAGTGTAAGAAACAAAAACACCTACTTCTAAGCCTGTAAATGTAACAAATTTTTTCAGCCGTTCTCTCCAGCTGCCTTTATTTTGATATTCTTTACTTGAGGAGGAAAAATACTCCTCTGAAAATCTTCTTTCAGGACTTAACACATTTATATTTTCTGATGATAAAGTTTCATTTGAAAATGTATGACTGCTTGGTTTTTTCAATGTTATAATTCTATCATTTGGATGTTTAACAACAGGTGGCAGTTGCTGCTGGTAGTCATTTGTCAAGTCCCATGATTTAAAAGTTGATCGTCTTTCTCTTTTTTGGGGGGCTGATTTTAAATCTGCTGGAGATATTTTTTTCCCTGTAAGTAATCGATGAATATTTAGCATGCTTTTAGTCAGTATTGGTTGATAATGATGATATAGTTTGCGTTTATCTAGGCTCATTGTTGACGAGTAGAAATCAGATGGTATACCGCCTAGAGAGAGAGAGAGAGAAAAAGAAAGAGAGGAAGAAAGAATGTATTTATTCATCATAACCTATAATGAAAGAATTGGCGCGGTATATATATATATATATATATATATATATATATATATATATATACTCTTAAAATGTAAGATGATGCTGCAGGATTGGACTACACCGACTCCTAGATTAGAAATAGGAAGTGAAGTGAAGTGGTAGAGCACGTTGACCGCTTCACTTACTTGGGAAGTACCATCAGCCAGTGCCAACGCGTTGATCTCCGACAAAATCTCAGCGAGTACGGATAGAGAGGGCTAGTTTGGCATATGCCAGTTTACGCCGTCTCTGGATAAGGAGACGTGATATCTGGCTGACCATCGACCAAAGAGCATGTGTACTGCTCATCAATCCGTTCCGTCCTCCTTTATGGCTGTGAGTGAGACCTGGACATTGAGAGTGGAAGACATGAAAAGATTAGCTGTCTTCGATCATAGGTGCCTGAGTTCTATCTCCCGTGTGAAGTGGTATAATAAGGTGAGCAATACTGAGGTTAGGCGTCGAGTGCTAGGTAAAGAGGGGAAATCAATAGACGAGACTGTGAAATTACATCGACTGAGATGGTTAGGACATGTGTTACGTATGCCTAGTCATTGCCTTCCTCGACGGGCAATGTTAGCTGATATAGGGTCAGGCTGGAAAAGAGCTAGCGGTGGTCAAACGAAAACATGTCACCAGTCAATGAAATGCACAACAGTTAGTTTAAGCCAGCCACGTAGGAAGGTGTAGACTTCCTGGTTGGGGTCCTTGGGACGGTAAAAACCAATGGTTGGAAACAATTGGTGACATGGCTCAAAATCGTTCTCAATGACGTAGATGCATCCACTCCTTGTGACTTATGATTTCCAATGAAACTGTTTTGTTCTTCGTTATTACTATTCCTTTGTCTCACACCTCTGTTTACTGTCTTTATTATGCATTTCTTCTACTTTCTTCTCTTGGTTTGTGTGCTACATGGAGTGTGGCGACTTGAACTGCTGCACATATGTGCAAAGTTCTATGTCGAAAACCGACCGACCGACCGATATATACTCCTGTCTATCTCAAGCAAAATACTAAGCTGCATCATCTTGGAGAGAATCAAATATGCCGCCTTGGATGAAAAACTTTGACCGAAACAGGCTAGATTCAGGAGAAACAAGTCATGCATCAATCGAATTGCAACACTGTGTATCTCCCATCATTGAAAAGTGCTTGGAATGGCAATCACACCTGTCTCTCTACCTCAATTTCATTGACTTTGAAAAGGTTTTCGATAGCGTGGCGTTGAGTGAGAGGTGATTTTGCAAACTGCTTTGCTACTACCAAGGGGTGCCGCCAACAATTATATATCTCATCCAACAGTTGTACGACAATTCTGCACGCCAAGTAATCCACAACGGGAAACTCATGGAATCCTTCGAAGTGAAGACGGGAGTAAGATAAGGCTGTTCGCCTACTATCTCCAATGATTTTCCTGATTGCAGTAGACTGGATAGTGCGGCAAACAGAGGCGGGCAGCGAGGAAATAAGCATAAAATGGATCCATAAAAGAAGCTTAGAGGATCTAGACTCCACCGACGATATTTGTCTGATTTCGCATAAACTGGAAGATATGCAAGTGAAAAGCAACAAGATGGCAGAAGAAGCATCCAGAGAGGATAGGACTTCAGGTGAACATAGAGAAAACAGAGGTGATGATGAAGATTCCTGGACAACAGTAACAGCAACAACAGACAATCAGCACAAATGGGAGAAATCTGGAAGAAGTAACCTCCTTCACCTACCCACCTACCCAACTGGGAAGCATCGTTTCAACTACGGGCGGACGGAACTGATCAGGATATCAAAGCGAGAATCGGGAAAGCAAGACGAGCTTTCATTTATCTCGAGTCTGTGTGGAGGTGAGCAGCACTCAGCATGAAAAATAAGATGCTGATTTTCAACTCGAATGTGAAGTCAGTGCTACTTACTATACGGATCAGAGACTTGGCGCGTCATAAAGAGCAACTCGAACACGCTACAAATCTTCGTCCATTACTCAAGATCAGAAGACCAGGAAAGATCAGAAACAGGGATCTCTGGCAATGAGCGAACCAACGCAGCAGGAATCGATTGTGCAACAAATATACAGGAAGAAATGGAGGTGAATTGGCCATACTCTGTGGAAACCATCAAGTTACATCACACACCAGGCCATCGCTCTCAAGTGGAACCCGGACGGGAAGCGGTGAGTTGATCGTCAGTGCGAAGGTGACATGGAGGAGGTCATGCAAAGAGGAGATAAAAGCATGCAAGCAGACGTGAAACCAGGTGAAAATGTTGGCGAAGAACCGAACGCAACGGAGACGTGCTTCTGAAGCTCTATTTTTCTCTAGGAATTAAAGGAAACAATAATAATAATAACCTAAATATTCCATATTAATTTGTTTATTAAATGGATATATAATCACACAGTCAGTGAAACAGTATTATTATTAATTACTGGATGGGAAAGTTTTGAACACAATTTATTTATTGTTCATAATCATATCGCCAATTATAACCAAACAAGTTCGAAACTTTCGTTTTATAGTTTTCTTTATTCTTTCTCCTATTCGCCATCGTAGGGGTAGTAGAATTTTCCAGATGTCCAGGTGGGTGGACAGGCATTGAACCATTCCTAGTCCACGTAATGTCTTCAGTTGATTCGATAAACAAAGCTTCCGTTATCAATCTCTCCCTCCGCCCTGTTATATTAGATTAGATTTCATAACTGTCATCTTATTCCATCATCCTATTGTGTGCTTGGTCGTGTGTAATGGTATGTAGTGAATGCTATAGCTGAACTAACTATTCTCCAGATTTCTTATCTTATTCAAGTCAACTAATCTAGATTTCGCTGCTACGGTCTTTGCGCTCCACTAGTCTGAGTGATTGACTGACGCCGTTCCACTATGTTGACCTGTGTATTTGACCTGACACACAACCATTCCAGCAGCGTGTTGCATGAACTAAATTGTTTTGTTTAATTTGCTCCACAGGATTGATCCTTTAACCGACAAAGCTTGTTTCTAGTTGAGTTTTTGGGCAGTTTGAATGCCAGCCACTTTTATTACTGCCTGCATTGTTAAGAATTCTCCATAAGGTTTTCCGAAGTCTCTGATGATTTAAATTCCTTATTGTTGATGTTGTCATTATTCTGTGCATGTTGGACATGTATGTCGTCATGAGTATTATTAATATTATTATTATCACTATCACTACTATCATTATTTATTTTATTTTTACATTTTCCTACATACTTCCTGATTAGTTTATCAGGGTAATTATTAAGTTCCAAAGCTTCTCTTAATATGCCTCACTTCCTGTCTTAGATTTTCCCTGGTACTAGTTAGTGTTTGTCCCCTATTACTTAAACATTTCACCAATCCTATTTTTGATTAAAGCAAGAACGACATTTCTTGCAGAATAAAATGGTACCAAGCAACGGTTACCCTCAAAGGTATATTAACAAGTACGGAAGATCCAAAGGCTAAAATGTCAAGCAAATCACAGTGGTAAAAAAGCTCACCTTCATTGAACTTGATTTTAAAGGTGAAAATATTACAACAGTCGTCAACAGAAGACTGATGACATCGCTAGCCACAACCCGTCTATAGAACAACTTGCTCTTCGGCGCAATCAAATAAAGGTCGACAGATACGCTTCTCATGTTAACAACTCCAACTGTGTATACAAATTTATGTGTATCTGCGGGAGCAGCTGTATTGGGAGAACAGAAAGAAGGGCATACCTCTGATTTTCTGAACATGTAAACAAAAGCCTACGTCTCAAGGGGACAAGCGCTTTGGTCACTGCCCTTACCAGACATCTCCTTGATATGGGTCGGGACATGAGGAGGAAATCACAAAATCATTTAAGATTATCAATAGACAAAAATGCTCGATTCTCCTTAAGTCTGCTGAGACAATCTCCCTCAAGCGTCTGAGACCCAATTTATGTGTTCAGAAAGAAGCAGTTGTCGGTCTTTCTTCGCACACCTGGTAACTGGATGTTTCCATCCTCTCTTTCGTCTGATCACATTATGCCGAAGATTTTCGTTGTGTATTATTATTAGGATTGTTGGTATATATTGATTTTTATTTAAAAATGGACTCTGTATGGGTAAGTATGTTAAAATTGTTTCTGTAGACATAATTAATAATGACTTTTGGCTGTAAGCAGCTGAGCTGATGAGAAGCCAAATTAATAAACAATGATGGTGGCATTTTATTCTGCACAAACCACTTTTGTTGTTGTTGCTTTATTCAAATTCATAAGGGGGGAATAAATGTATGAAATCCTATTTTTACTGACATAGGACGGGATGATCTGAAATCCAAATACTACCAGTTTTGAACTTTCCTTTAGGAATAGGAATGATTCAATAACTATCCACCCACCTGGACCTTTGCAAAATCCTACTACCCCCACGATGACGAATAGAGAAAAGAATAAAGAAAACTATAAAACGACAGTTTCAAAGTTGTATGGTTATAACTGACGATATGATTATGAACAATAAATAAATTGTGTTTGAAGAAACTTCGTCATCCAGTAAATAATAATAATACTGTTTCACTGACTGTGTGATTACATATCCATCTAATAAACACAGCACCAAAGAATATTTCCAACAGGTTGCAGACCTTTAAAAACAATTGTCTTCGCTCTATACTGAAGATCAGATGGCCGCCGGAAAGAATCACAAACAAGAAACTATGGGAACAAACAAAACAAGAACCAATCGCCCAACAAATATGCAGGCGAAAGTGGATATGGATTGGACATTCGCTGAGGAGGCCGCTGGGTGACATCGCGCGTCAGGCCATCACTCGAAAGGAAACCGGAAGGGAAGCGGCGAGTTGGACGTCCAAGGGTGACATAGAGGAGATCGTGTGAAGAGGAGTTGAAACAGTATGGATTAACATGGATGACAGAAGCAAATGGAGACGTGTAGTTGAAGCCCTATGTTCCACTAGGAACCCAAGGGAACAATAATAATAATACAGTGCCCATATTATACACACACACATATATACAGTAACCCATAATTTTAATTTGTACATCTTACCACCACGCATTGTTTGCTGATTTTGTAAGTATAATGGTTTTAAAGATGGATAAACTTTTGACAAATAATGATCAGCTTTATTTTTTGTTGTAGCTATTCCAGCATTATGCAGGGCTAAGGTGACTTTTTTAAAAGCTTCCAGAATATCATCACGTCCAATAGGATCACGTAGTAGTAGATGTCGTGCAAATCTAAAAAAAAATAGTTAAACAATAATTTTAAGCAAATTTAAGAGAAAGAAAAAAAGAATTGGTTTAGATTATTATCTGGAGAAAATAATCAAACAAAATAATTCGTTGGAATATATATGAAATTAATAAAGAGGTAAGAGGTGAGAAAATAGACTTAGGTCAAGTTAAAAGGACATATTCAAGGTCAAAGTAACAATGAAGACCACTAAACCAAATAACAGAGGTAACAGTACATCTGCTATGGTATCAAAACAAAATTTACTAAGGAACGTTTAATGTGATGACGAATTGTTGCTTTGATCGCATAAAGGTGGCTTAAACTTTCTAATTACCAGCTGAGGCTTCCACAAACTTTAGGATACGCCCCAAACACGTTTTATAGATAGGTTTAAAAGATCTGTTAACGTCAAGACGTGTACATCAAGCTACCCTATATGGGGCACCAAAGCAGCTTGATAACTAGACAAAGATTGAACGCTGATGTCAAAAAGACTTTTTATGCAGCCAATATCATAATTATAGAGAATGTAAAGCCAATATATCTATCTAAGCCCTTCAAACATGCGAAAAATGACGTCACATCCCACTGTATTTACCATTTTGAATGTACGTGTGGACACACATACATAGGGAGGACTCATCGATCTCTGCAAGTAAGGGCTTCAGAGTATATTCCAAAATGGCTGCAGAAGCAAATGGAATCTTCAGTATCCATTAATGGTGAGAACAGGAGACCCAGCTCTTCTATTGCGAAACATAGAGACAGGGCTTACAATTGACGTTAACAGGTCTTTTAAACCTATAACGTGTTTGAGGGAGGGCGTATCCTAAAGCTTGTGGAAGGAAGCCCTAGCTGGCAATTAGAAAGTTTAAACCACCTTTATGCGTTCAAAAACAATTCGTCATCACATTAAACCTTCCTTGGTAAATTTTGTTTTTATACCAGTCAGGGTTGATGTACTATTACCTCTGTTATTTGGTTTAGTCGATCTTCATTGTTATTTTCACCTTCAATATGTCCTTTTAACTTGACCTAAGTCTATTTTCTCACCTCTTACCTCTTTATTAATTTCATATATATTCCCATGACAAGTCCGTGTGTGATCAGATTGTTCGAAATGTGTTGCGCAAATACATTACACGATTCAGACAAATTACGTCTTCCTTCTTATTGCTTTATCTAAATTCATAAAGGGAACTAATTGTTTTAAAAATAATTCGTATTCAAGGAGATTTATTGATTTGTTTCAGAATTTCACCATGACCTCATATCGGTTAAAAAAACATTGGAAAACAATCACTGGGAGTAGTGGGCAGCTAGCTGTTTCATCCTAGTGGCTTAATGGTCTACAAGTTAACTTGCCTTATAACCGGAAGGTCCTGGGTACAAAAGTCGGTAGGTGCGTGCTGTCGAGCTGTCCAGTACTCGAGTGCTGGTTTTCCAAATATTTTGCTAGAAAAATAGTTATGTGTTTATATTAACAATACATCTCAGTGCAGTTCAATCTTTTTAAAAATAAAATATTCCTCCTGTAGTAGTGATTGATGATATTGTGGTGAGAGCTGTCTGCAAGCCAAAACTTGTAGACAACAATTTACGTCAATGTTTATGTCCCAAATCTTGGTCATGAGAAAAGAACAAGAACAAAGCTTAAGCCTGAGGAACTCACCAACCAATCACAGCAGACTTAAAGTGTGCAAATACGATTCGCAGGTGTATGGCTTAACTTTTTAAGAAATGGTCACAAGCAGTATAGAATAACCTGCAGCAAGAAAACAACCAATCAGAAGAGGTTGCTTCTCCGCTAAACACAAAGCTAATAATAATAAACATAAAAATCTATAAATATCTGTTGATTTTCTGAATAAACGATCTGTTGCCTGGCCCTTGTCTTCTGTCGTTACAATATGGCCGTCAGTACAACCTAGCAGATTTGTTAGGCCACAGTTCTAATCACTATTCGCAACAATAACCACTACTACACGATACTGCCAACATGCGACACAAAATAGAAGACAAACCATTGACGGCGAATTTAAAGTATCACCTCCCTGGTGTCTGAACTCTCCAATGATTTTGAAAGCATATTAGTCGTTGGATAACGAAATGGGAAGCGACTAATGGGTCGTCGATGCGAGGGTGATATGGAATAGATTGTCTGTAAAACAACCCTTTTTTAAACCACCAGAAGCACTGATAATTACCCTGGAGTCTATCCATTTAGTAACATTTCCTACAGAAAGATAAAACTATAAATTGATCAAAGACTGAGAACTAACCAAATCCCGATAACAATGTCTTTGAAGTTAAGATTGACCATTTGTTTGACAGCGAATAATGCCGCCAAATTCGATTCTTTTGATCCTGGTTATCAGTTAGGTGTTAACTTATCTTCATTATGGTAGCAATTCTCACAAAACTTACCTGTTATAAGTTAAATGATAAAGTGATAGTGGTGAAAATATTCTTCCTTCTATGTGCTACTTAGGATACTTCAAAGAATTCTAATTACGCCTATATTCATAAATAAAATACTATTGTTTTCTTTTTAAGAAAAGGGGAATACGCTGCAACTATTTATCTTGTTTTTTGACCATAGATGTCTACCATCTCTTTCTCACGTTAGGTGGTATGATAAGGTAAGTAATGTTGACGTCAGGCGTAGAGTGTTGGGCAAAGAGGGAAAGTCAATCGACGAGGCTATAAAGTTACATAGATTGAGATGACTAGATCACGTGCTGCGCATGCCTAGCCATCGCCTCCCCCGACGGGCATTACTAGCTGATATAGGTGCAGGTTGGAAAAGAGTAAGTGCTGGCCAAACAAAAACATGGCATCAATCCATGAAATCCCTGACAGTCAAACTGAATCAGGTAGGGAGATGCAGACTTCCTGGTTGGGGCCCTCGGGACTCTAAGAATCAATGGCTGGAGACAATAGGTGACATGGCTCAAAATCGTTGTCACTGGCGCAGATGTATTCGGTCTCTTTAATCTTTTATAATCCCTTCTACCACTACTCATTCTGTTTCACGCTTATACTTGTTAAAACTCTATTGATTCTCTTCACTCATTTTCTTGTCTACCTTTGTGTGTTATTTGGAACGTGGCAACTCGAACTGCTGCACTTTGGTGCCAAGTTCTATGTTGAATCCAGCCAGCCGGCCACTTATCTTGCTGCATTTTATTACATTTCTTAACCATTCACTTATCACCATGGTCTAAAACATCAGTTGAATGGATCTTTGGTGGGACTTCCTACTTTGAAACCTCACCAAAACAAACTTGAGATGTGTTTACAAGAACGTATAACATTCATTTTCGATATTATTGGCGAAGAGTACCTATAAAAAAATTTAGGAGTTTTGCATTACACAACATTTAATTCCTGCATTTACTGGGAGGTGGATTTTGTTCATGGCTTATTCTTACCTTTCTAACTTAGGCAAGCATGACGACCATCTTCCCCATTCTTTTGTCCCCAGAATATCTTCAACACATGCACACATTTTCCAAATAACTTGTTGGTTCAGCGTTTGGAAAAGACTTGTTGGTTTGTTTTCTTGTTTCATCTGTAGCAGATGTAGAAGTGGCTTCATAAGTGTTCCAATAATGATAATTGTAAACACCGTGAGAAATGCTGATGTAGATCTGAGCAAGTTTACATCTATCCCAACATTATTCAAGCATTCTTGAGTAACAATCTCAGTTAAACCATGACTAATAGCTCCTCTTAAACCACAGAAACCTATCACAAATACAGTAGTTCTGGAAAGATTATTCTGAAGATTGTGAAGTTTATTAACAAATACCGACAGAATAAACACTATGATGAATCTCCATAAAATTGAAATAAAAAGACTAATCAGTTTAAAGTTAGTATGCCACTCAAAGTCATGTACGACCAACGTGTAACCCATAGTTAGAAATATAAGTGATTCTGAAATACTAGCAGTCATACGAGCGAAACGTTTGATTGTCATTTTAGATTTAGGCGTGATATTCTGGAAAGTGTAAGCCGATTGAATTAACCAAAACAGTAAGATTGAAAAGACTCCAGGCCAATGAACAGAATAATTTAACAAGTATGTGAGGTAACTGCCGCTAATTACAACAAGAGGTTCAATTGCTGATGAACGTCCTGTAAACCTTGTAATTATACAGGCGAAAACTCCAAATATGACACCAGTCAAAGAAGCAATAACAATCTTTGCAGAGACAATAAAAAGTCCAATCGATATAATCTCTAGTGTAGTTTCTGACATATAAATATTTGGTTGACAAGTTATTTTGTAAACATAATCAAAAACAGCTAAAGTTACGCCATCATTTATAACAGACTCTCCAACAAAAATAAAGTAAAGACTTGGATGTACATGCATTTCGCCTAAAATCCCAAGCACTATTACTGAATCAACTGAGCTACCAAGACAAGAAAATAAGAAGTAACCAAGAGTGGTTATCTGAAGTCCTTCTGACTTAAATACTCCAAAATAGTCATCAATAAAAACTAAGCTCACTCCAATAAGAGCAAAATTTAGCAAAGTTCCTAGAAATCCAAATAAAAGAATAGCTGTAATGTGTTGTAGAAAGTATGATTTGTGCATATGTAAGACAGCTTCAGATATTATAGGTGGAAGAAGTAACACGAAAAAAGTCATTTCATCGAAGTAAGTTAGCTCTAAATTGAGTTCGTTTGCCACCTTACCAAAAAGTAGACCTATAGCGAAAACAGAAATAGGCTCCAGAACATAGTTGATACCAAAATCTTTGAAGCTATATATAATCTTAATTATGCAGCAAGCAAGCACAAAAGCGACTGCAACCATGATGAAGTGAGTTTTTGCAAAATTTCCAGGATCAAACCAGTGGTCTGCAATGAGTCCTCCAATGCTATGTGATCCATTCTGTAATATTGGTGATGGCATCGTCTGTTAATTTACCGCTACAGCTAAACTCGCGGAATTCAATATTCAATATAATTTTTAAGAGCTAGTGTCAACCAAATGGATTTCTTTGTGCTGAATTCTTGGATGTAACGTAAGGGTTCCTTATCATCAGTATACTTCTGCAAATTGTGTCCCGTTACGCTAACAACTTAACTTTGGTGGACTTCAAGGTGAGTGGTGCGGGGATTGGTTATATTTGGTGTGTTAAGACCATGTCATTGTTGCTAATGGAGTTTATCCTTTCACCCGTTAGTAACCTGCTGTGTTCCAACAGATAGGTATTAATGATAATAAATAGTATTATTGTTGCCTTTGGTTCCGAGCGGAACATAGATCTTCAACAACACATTTCCACTTACTTTTTTCCGCTGTCCTCTTTAGCTGAGCACATGATTGCCTATAGCCTGTCGTCCCTTTCACGCATGATCTCCTTCATGTCACCCGAGGTCGATCCACTAGTTGTTTCTCATTCGGTTTCCACTAGAAGGTCTGTCGCTTGATGTCATTCGACGGTCTCCTCAGTGTGTGCCCTGTCCATCCCTATTTTCCTCCATATATTCGTTGAACGATAGGTTCTTGGTTAGCTTGTTCCCACACTCTTTTGTTGCTGGTCCTCTCTAGTCATTTGACCTTCGATATAGAGCAAAGGCAGCTGTTGATAAAAGACTGAAACCTGTTGGAAACGCTTTTCGTGATGCTTCTATTTTCAGAACCGTATAGAGGAATCACTTCACATTTGTTCTGAAAATCCGAATCTTGTTCTTTATGCTGATTACAGAAGGTTTCCAAACCGATTTCAGGTTGATGAAGGTGTATCTCGCCTTTCCGATTCAGGCTTTGAGATCTTCATCCGTTCCGCCCGTCTGTAGTTAAAGGGATCTTTCCTAGGTAAGTAAAGGACGGGACCTCTTTCAAGTTTCTCCCGTTGGTGGTGGTTGGTGCCGTTTGTCGTTGCTGTTGGTTGGCTAGTTGGTTACCTCCGTCTTCTCTATGTTCACTTGGAGTCCTGTCTTCTCTGCACTACTTCTTCAACCACTTTGTTGATTTTCACCTGCAAGTTTTCGAGTTTGTGTGTGAGACATTAAACATAAATCATCAGCGCGCAAAATCCAGATCTCCTAGGGTCTTCTTATCAATCAATCCAGAGTATTCCTGTATTCTCTCTCCCAGCGCACAGTCTGGCACATAGTCCAGTACACCACTGTTAGGAATATCATCGTGAGTGATAGTGGGCAGCCAACCGGCCATTTCCTACTCACGTATTTCACTTCAAAGCCAGGCCTCACTGTGTTTTCCATCGTAGATCACCTGACACTTGGAGGTGGCCATTGTCACATAGCCAGCTGTTGAATGAGGTTGGTAAAGACTTGGGCACCGAATGACGTAGTGTTGAAACAGTTTCCGAATTACTTTTAGGTCAGCGCTGTTTATCGGAGTCGTTTTCGACGCCCATGAAGTTGAGGTAGAGATAGATATGACTGCCATTCTATGCTTTGTTCTGTGATGACGATGCCTAGAGTTGCAATCCGATCAGTACATGGTTTTCCTTTCCTGAATTCAGCTTGTTCCAGTCAGCTGGCGGAGTTCTGTATCCAGTCCATCTTTCATCCTCTGCAGGATGATGCGACTGAGTGTTTTACTTAGCGTGGACAAGAGTATTATTCCATGCCAGCTCTTGCAGAGTGAGGCGTAAGTAACCTTTCTATAGTGGCTTGGCAAGGTAGACACTCTTTCTTCCAGTCAGTAAGCACCTTTCCTTCCTTCCAAACATTTTGCAAAAATAGCTATAGCACACTGCATCAGTATGTGGATCCGTTTTCAGTGCTTCGGGGTAATGGAATTCCGTCTGGTGATGCCAACTTCCCAAACTTCAGAAGCTTGATCACATTCAAGATTTCTGCTTTCGCTGAGGAATTGGTGTCCACTGGCAGTTCTGTGTCCGCCGCTGAGGTACTTCTGAACGAGTTGCGGATGATGGCAGATTCAAGATTTCTTGAAAGAGAATATCCCATTGTTTCATTTGTTTATTCCCTTTGGCAGTTAGGCTCCTTTGATCATCCTTTATAGGTTTCATCTGCGCTGGTTTTTCTCGGGTAGAAACCTGGCAATCCGATATAACGTCCTGAGGCTTCTTTTACCCGTGGCCTGTTCTGCTTGGGTCGCTAGTGTGTTGGCCATTTGTTTGACAGCGAATAATGCCGCCAAATTCGATTCTTTTGATCCTGGTTATCAGTTAGGTGTTAACTTATCTTCATTATGGTAGCAATTCTCACAAAACTTACCTGTTATAAATTAAATGATAAAGTGATAGTGGTGAAAATATTCTTCCTTCTATGTGCTACTTTGGATACTTCAAAGAATTCTAATTACGCCTATATTCATAAGTAAAATACTACTGTTTTCTTTTTAAGAAAAAATGGGAATACGTTGCAACTACTTATCTTGCTGCATTTTATTACACTTCTTGCCCATTCACTTATCACCATGGACTAAAACATCAGTTAAATGGATCTTTGATGGGACTTCCTACTTTAAAACCGTACCAAAACAAACTTGAGATGTGTTTACGAGAACGTATAGCATTCATAGATATGGCTGCCATTCTATGCTTTGTTCTGTGATGACGATGCCTAGAGTTGCAATCCGATCAGTACATGGTTTTCCTTTCCTGAATTCAGCTTGTTCCAGTCAACTGGCGGAGTTCTGTATCCAGTCCATCTTTCATCCTCTGCAGGATGATGCGACTGAGTGTTTTATTTAGCGTGGACAAGAGTATTATTCCATGCCAGCTCTTGCAGAGTGAGGCGTAAGTAACCTCCCTATAGTGGCTTGGCAAGGTAGACACTCTTTCTTCCAGTCAGTAAGCACCTTTCCTTCCTTCCAAACATTTTGCAAAAATAGCTATAGCACACTGCATCAGTATGTGGATCCTTTTTCAGTGCTTCGGGGTAATGGAATTCCGTCTGGTGATGCCAACTTCCCAAACTTCAGAAGCTTGATCACATTCAAGACTTCTGCTTTCGCTGAGAAATTGGTGTCCACTGGTAGTTCTTTGTTTCATTTGTTTATTCCCTTTGGCAGTTAGGCTCCTTTGATCATCCTTTATAGGTTTCATCTGCGCTGGTTTTTCTCGGGTAGAAACCTGGCAATCCGATATAACGTCCTGAGGCTTCTTTTACCCGTGGCCTGTTCTGCTTGGGTTGCTAGTGTGTCGTAGAATTGTCTTTAGTCTTTCCTGACACTCTTCTTCACTTCTTTATTCAGTGCAACATATACGGGACTGAGCTTCCCCTTCTGTTGCCTATGTTCACCCTTGGTCATCTCTTCCATCATCCTCCTCTCTTCTACTTGCTTCCAGGTATCCATTCAGAACCATTCCTTATCCTTCCTATTATTTCTTCTTAAAACGCCAGTACAAATTCCGTTTAACATCATTTTCATAAGGTTCCGGTATTCCTCTACGCACGCAGTGTCCCCAATTTTGCCCCGGTATCTGTGGTGATGGTGTTCCTTGCAGTTTTGTCCTTAAGTTTCTGGATATTGAACTTCAATTGTGGTCTGGCTTCATTTCTTCTGGGGGATTCCAGCTACACCTTGAAGGTTTCCCGGACCAGAGGGTGGTCAGAGTGGTCCCACCTTCTCGACATTTTGTCCAGCAGCTTGACTGCGTCTCCACCTCCTTGTGATCCAAATGGGATCTGTCCGGTTTCGCTTGTGTCCTTCAGTTGAAATTCATGTTGCTTTGTGTGTATCCTTATGCTTCTACACGCCCCCTCTGATCACCAAATCACTGAGAGCTCAGAAGTCTGCGAGCTATTCGCCGCTCTCATTCATTTCTCCGAGAGCCTCTCGACCCACGATGAGTTCGCTTCCAGTATTATCAGCTCCCATTTCTTCTGGCATTCACACTGTCCATGGGATTTTGATGTCACTATTTGGAATGTTGTCCATTACTGTTTGTAGTTGTCTGTAAAAGTCTTCCTTCTTCTCTTGTCCCACGTACTTTGTAGCACTGCGCGTAGCTTTGGACAGTTGTGACTTTCCTTCTTTTTGAGTTGAATCTTGCTGCCATAATCCTTGATAAAATTGGCTCCCACTGCATTAGAGCTTTGATCGCCACTACTAACATCATGATAGCCACTCACTCCATCAGTGTGCTCGTAGTTGTCGTCTGGGTGACCAGACCGCAGTAGATTACTGACTCACCAGTTGAAGATTTCGACGCCCGATATCTATTTCATCTACTCTCGCAAATACCCAGCACTTCTAAGCTTTATCTATGCATTTATTTGGCTACTTGGGCAGCCCTCCCAGCTTCGTAAATTGTACGAACATTCCCCATTCCCCTTCCGCATCCTTATTCTTGCTTCCATCGGTGGATGATACATCTGCTGACTAGCTTCCCGAAGGCGTTCTACCAACCCGCGTTATTT